CCGAGACAGAATCACTTCTTTTGTGTATTAAAACAAAAAACCCCCCATTACAATACTAGACTCAGAAGGAACTTTCAACATACAGCACACATACATCATTATCGTTAACAGTTACCCTGTTGTAAAGACATGACAAACAAATGAGGCGCACATATGATCATGGGTGGCTTTCACTCAATTTGGAAAAGAAAATATGAGACAATAAATATGTGTTCGTTTAGTGTTTGAATCGTCATTTTACATTGTTAAACTTACTAACTTAATAACAAAATTACAGCGTTGACTCACTCACTCAATTTGATAGAATAATGACATAATTTTTAAGTAGCACAAACACTTCAACAACTCAATTTAAATGCACACAAAAACTTCTATAAATCATGGGTGAGTCACTGCAAATGATATCATTCCACATGCTCTTCACCCCCTTTCTTCCTCTCTAAATTAATTGCTTTGAAAGTTTATAAAGACTGCCAACATGAAATGTGAGCAATTTCCTTAATAATCATAACATTTTAAAAAATTGGACTCCTGCCAATTAGACAGTCACTCACTCTAACCCGCTCGCCATGAATTAAATGAATGTCAAAGAGATAGTGATAGTCTGACCTCACCAAACACCAGTGTCAAACACATGACTTTTACAAAAAGATTCAATTCAAATTACCTCTTTATAGAATCTATAGTGTAGCTGTAGATAGATCTATGCAACACAGGAATTCACCACTTAAAGATAATGGGCCTCCAATGTTGTTTGATGGATTGCAGTCTAAATTCGCTAAATTTTTATTCCTTACGGGGGTGGGGTGGTGGGGTGGTGGGGATAAATCCTCAGTTTTCAGCCATTTGGTTTTAGTATGAATGTGTTAAAAAAAAAAAAGGAAAAAAAATCGAAACACAAACATTTTTGAGCATTTCAGAAGGAACTTACGACGACACCATTGTGGTAAGAATGCTTGTCTGGTTGGTAAAATGACAGTGTTCACATTAACACAAACAATGATGTGAATGAAGGAGAACATCTCAAGAAACAATATATGCCAGGGACACAAAACATTTTTCTAAAAAATATATCGACCTACACTTTTAACTTCTTGTTCCTAATTGTTGTATGGTGTCATAAACTTTTTGGAAGGACTTCCGTAATGAGCGACCACCCCAACAAACATAGTAAAGAAGAGGCCTAACCCTAACCCTACTCCTCAATTCTACACTCTGTCTCATAGTGGTTGCTCGTTACGGAAGTCCTCCCAACTTTTTATTTGTGTCATCGGATGGGGAAGCAAAGACTGATCATGGTGCAGTCTTCAAACTACTCAAACTAGTGGCAAAGGTCCCTAAAAACATAGGTCGGCTCTATTTTTCTGAACGTTCGGGAAAATAAACTTGAACTTTATTTCTCCAAACGGTCTCCATTCTCGAGATTTGTTGATAATTTAATAAGCGAATGGAGTTGCCCGTGTGTGTGTGTCAGTGTGTGTGTAAGGTGTTAACGGGGAGGGGGGCATGGAAGGATTTATTTTTCATGAAGGATTTTAGTTTTTGTTGGGTGAGTAACTAAATGCAAAATAAGTTACTGCCAAGGTCGAGCAGTCTTGTTTTTTCACAGTACCTTTTGAAGGTATTTTCAAATGAAGTATAGTCCGGGAACGTTGCCCCAACCACAACTGAAGTATCTGAATATTCAGACATTTAAAAATCTCTAGCTCCAGAAATAGAATTTGATGTAAAAAATGCATCTTTCCCAGTCAGTCCTCGCAGATTGGCAGAACCAAAGGATGACGCCTAAATCTCGCAAATAACCCAAAAATCTCGAGATCGGAAACCGTTCGGAGAAAGAGAGTTCAACTTTATTTTCCTGAACGTTCGGAGAAATAGTCACTTCGAAAAAAAATAAGGAAAGGCATTTATAAGGGTCTGGGCTTTACCTAAAAGCACTCAGGGCATAGAGTGTGAGTAAAAAAAAAACAACACCTGAGAAACTAGCCATCTTCTAAATACACAGTAGCAGCCTCAAACACAGGAAATTTCAAAAAGATCACAGCAGGGGGATCAATATAAAATAAGACAATTTGAAAAAAAAAAATCCCAACAAACTGTTACCATATCTTCCTTATTCCTTGCTTATGCCCCCTTCTTGCACAATGGAGAAATTTATATTCACCTGAAATAGGCAACAATCAGTACATGATGAAAAATAACGGACAGTTATATATATTACATTCATTTTGCTGCAATTTTTTTGTAAAGCACTCAAAAAATATGGCATAACAGAACAAAACATGGTTACTGAACACAATCTGACATTGCAAGAGAATAGAGTTAGTACTGATTTTCTTCAATCCAGCCTTTCAAAGTGGTGGGCAATGGCAGCTGTTGGATGTGGTCATATCTTGTATACTGACGGATAACAAAGCGACACAGGTACTGCAATGATCTGACCTGTGTGAACCGAGACACTGGTTTTGTTAGCCACACTGGAAACTGTGGGGCACCGGGGGAACGCGATCTTGAGTAATAAAATATTCCAGTCTGGGACTCATTCATTGAATGTTCAATCAAATCCACAATTGAAGGATAACCTTCGCTGTCTGGCTGTGCATAGAAACTGAACACTCCATTACAGTGTTCTATCCGAGTATGAAGGGTGCGACCGTAAGAACGAAAAGACAAACTGAGGAGGTATCGTTCATCAGAACTATCCCTGACGAGAAAAGCTCCATCTGGCTGATTAGTCAATTTGTCCTCAGCTTCGTTGCGAGTTATTGGACCCCAGTACCAACCAAATTTAGAGAGGCGGAACAGTTCTTGCGTTAAACTCCACACTTTAGGGCTCCAAATTTTAGTTTGCTCTTTCACTGGATCATATTCCACACAGTCTGCAAGTTCACAACAAGGATCGCTTCGGGCATTTTTGTCCTGATCCTTATTTGGATGAACAGTCACATCAGCACTACACACTTTTTCAAGAACACCTTCTTCCCGTTGCGAACTAGCAGGACTAAAATGGGATATGTCTTTGGACAAACATCCAGGTTTATCTTTTACTCCTTCAATGTCACGGCGATCAGTGTTGGAATGCCATTCATTGAATTTTGGAGACATGTATGGTTTCAGGGGCGAGTTTAGACTGTCACAACTTTGAGAAGCTGAGCTAGATCTTGAACTGAATCGAGGTTTGCTTCGTTCTTTTAATCTAGTGTTTGATAAGTTGGGAGTTATATTCGGAGAAGGATGCTGTTCAATGTGTCCATTGCATTCAGCACCCTCCGACTTTCGAAGAGAGGAGAACTTACGCCGCAAGTTTCGAAAGAGGCCCATTCTTTCTCGCTTTCTTTGATGTGGTTCTTCATTGATCACAATGCTGCCAGCAACATTGTTATGGTATAAGGGAGCTGTTACTGGCTCTGAACTCTGAGAATTGGAGCAAGGTCGCTCTGATATGTCAAGTGTCTGTAAACCGACAGGACAATCTAAAATAGTTTGAGTCTGAGGGCTATGTTGGTATTGTAACGATTGGGGACGAGGATTGTGATGAAGTTGTTGATGTTGGTGGTGGTGATATTCACCCTCACGTTCACCTTGAGATCCTTGATCGTTGCGACGACTCTGTGATGAAATCTTAATACTCTTAATACTTATTTTTTTCATCGTCATATCCAAAGAGAGGTGGCACAACAAAACATGGCAATACCTCCCAATATGAGCATTTGCAGGGGGGTCGTAGGCTACTCACTCACTTCGCTCACACTAAAAAACGAGATCTACGTTCTTGACGTTTGCGCATGCGTTAGTCTGTCTTCCGAAAAAGTGGAAGAGAAACTTCTGCATTTTTGTATATTGATTTGTCAAAAATACAATGATTTTCCTTCAAATAATTTTGAATTTAAAGATATCACCGTCATTCTTGTTTAAATGATATAAATTTTTCATGAGGATGTTAAATTAATAAACATGTTTCTTAAAAACAATTAGTACAATCTATTTAGATAGACTTTTCTGTTGAGGTGTATTAAAAGTTAAAGCATATACAGTATCCACAGATTAATTAAATTAGACATCATCCTCAAAATGGTAAATTTTGGAAGATAGGATTGTCTTCAATTTACTCTTTTCTATTTTAGTAGAGAGTAGAGAGATTCTGTTGAGCCAAAAAAAAAAAGATAGATCTACAAATATTTCACATTGTTACACAATACATTGTGTAAGCTCTAATTTGTAAATTAAACCATAGGCAACAGATGTGAATGTTAACGTGTATTTAAGCTTAATACAATACAATAGCATGTATTATCTTTTGTCTCTCAAAATAAAGTTGCAATTAAGTTTCACACCACCATTCCTTAATAATAATAATAATTCCCTAATGATAATTGAAGACCTCAAAATAATAAACTAACCAAAATATTCAGTTACTGCGCGTCTGTATTATGGCGTCCTCCTGTGAAGACTCGGACGACGATTTTGTTGTATTGGGTACCCCAGTACCTGAAATTCAGGAAGGTGAGCCACTTCAAACCCTGCAATGCTAGAAACCGATGTAAACAGTACACTAGGCTAAAAGAAAAGTATCGGCAGTGGTTAAGATTTGCCGTCCCGCCGCCATGTTGGTTTGTTTACATCAGCAACTCAAGTGGGACACTAGATCTAGTCAATGATAGTACATAACAAGATGGGCCACTTCTCTCTTTGAGCCAATTAAAAAAGTGTCCTCCAAATTTGGTGGCGCCCTCTTCACAAAAGCGCACTCTTTGCGAACAGAGTTACCCTACTTGAGTTTTAAAAAATCAAAGTGAAACTAGCAAGTTTTGGGATAAATTTCGGAAGAACGCTTTTTTAAAATGGTTACGCTGACAAAAAAACCTCTTCCGGAGGAAAGGGTGATGGTTTTCTTTGTTTAATTTGACTTTAGAATGAAAGGCGAGAGGTCATTAAAATATAAAAAAACTAAAACTCCGCACTGAACGTACCCGAACTGCTGATGAACAGCAGTCGATCTGCGCACGCAAGGAGGTGCTATTCCTATTCTTCTTCTGGAAAAACGAAAGAGAGCTTCAAAACAGACTGCAGCGCCATCTGAAGCAAAGAGCATACTTCCTGCGGACACTTTTTTGGCTGAGTGGCCCATCTTGTTATGTATTATCATTGATCTAGTGATGGGCCGATACCATAATTTAGGTATCGATTCGATACCTAGATCTAGTACCAAAGATAGTAAATAACAAGATGGGCCACTCAGCCAAAAAAGTGTCCGCAGGAAGTATGCTCTTTGCTTCAGATGGCGCTGCAGTCTGTTTTGAAGCTCTCTTTCGTTTTTCCAGAAGAAGAATAGGAATAGCACCTCCTTGCGTGCGCAGATCGACTGCTGTTCATCAGCAGTTCGGGTACGTTCAGTGCGGAGTTTTAGTTTTTTAAAATTTTAATGACCTCTCGCCTTTCATTCTAAAGTCAAATTAAACGAAGAAAACCATCACCCTTTCCTCCGGTAGAGGTTTTTTGTCAGCGTAACCATTTTAAAAACGAAGTGACTATTTCTCCGAACGTTCGGAGAAATAGTGCCGATCTTTATTTCTCCGAACGGTTTTCAGCTTCCGGTCTCGTGATTTTTTGCCTATTTATTGCGAGAGTTCGGCGCCAACTTTCATTCTGCCTCTGCCTCTGGTCTGGGAAGGAACACGTACCGCATGGCAAGCCCGCCTACAGACAACCTTCAGTAACACCCACCACACACCCACCACCATCATGCACATGTACACACACTAACTAAACATAACTAGTGGGCAACTTTTGAACGTATGACGAGCTGAACTGTGGATGGAGAGACAGTGTGAGTGAAAGAGCGGGTGAAAGGAAGAATGTGCGAGTGTATCCACAGGCGACAGCAACTAAAAGACGACGACACTGACCACCCCTGGCCTGGTCCACAGCTCACGAACAAAAAGAATGCAGCTCAGGCGGTGTTTTGCCTATATTATTGTCCATGGTTCGCAGGGAACAAGTGAGATTTTCTTTGTGTGTGCCTGGAGGGATGGGGTGGGGTATGAAAGTCATGCGGACGGGGATGAGCCGCGGGAGAGAACACGGGAATTGAATGAAAGAGTGAAACTGAAAGAGACGAATGACTCATGAGTCCTGGAGTGAATGGATCCTGTGTTTCTATTTTTGTATACTTTGAACTGTTACTGAATAAAGGCTGAAATAAAGCCCGAAAAACAAACAAACACACACACACACTCCTCACTCTCCACTTACTACCACACACAGACACACTCAAACACTCACACATACATACACACACACACACACACAGGAGCAAATTTTTGGGTTTATATCTATTTAAATTTTCAACAGCTAGTCTAGATGAGATTTTTAGATGAGTGTAAAAACGTGAAAAAGAAAGGTTTCATAACAGAAAGAAATCAAAATTAGAACAGCCCAAAAACAACAACAAACATTAACAAATAAGGGCGTGTGTCCACCTGTCCGAAGAAGATTGGCAGTTTTAACCCTAAATGTGCGTAATTTTTTTTTTAAAGTACAGGATATTACATGTAAATTATGGAATCACACACATTAAGGGGCTTGCCAGTGTCAGTACATTGGTCGCAGCAGTGACAAACGCAGATGCCAGTTCTATGTGTAGTTATCAATAACCCTCCGTAGATCTAGATCTAGACAGCACACGAGTGAACACAACACATTACGTTTAAAAGCAGCACCTTTCATAGGCAACACGTCATATCTATAGCGAAAAACTGTTTGGAATTGTAGCATTTCTTTATATAAATATTTACGGCGGACATTTTTTGGACCGATTGAACCATATTGTATACGAACAATCTTTGGTAGGCCCATACTATAATTATAGATCTATATAATATCCGAAATTTGGGGGAAAGGATGATATTTCAGAGTGTTCGGAGAAATAGTGCCCAGCTTTATTTTCCTGAACGTTCGGAGAAATAGTGCCCAGCTTTATTTTCCCGAACGTTCGGAGAAATAGTGCCCAGCTTTATTTTCCCGAACGTTCGGAGAAATAGTGCCGGCCTTTTAAAAAAGCGTTCTTCCGAAATTTATCCCAAAACTTGCTAGTTTCACTTTGATTTTTTAAAACTCAAGTGGGGTAACTCTGTTCGCAAAGAGTGCGCTTTTGTAAAGAGGGCGCCACCAAATTTTGAGGACACTTTTTTAATTGGCTCAAAGAGAGAAGTGGCCCATCTTGTTATGTACTATCATTGCTAGTACCAAAGATAGTAAATAACAAGATGGGCCACTCAGCCAAAAAAGTGTCCGCAGGAAGTATGCTCTTTGCTTCAGATGGCACTGCAGTCTGTTTTGGGGAATATTGAAGAATACCAGACCACTCGTACATTATTGCGCGAGAAAGTGGGGCGGGTGGCTGGGGTGGAGGAGGTGGGGGGGGTTAAGGGGGGTCTCCCCCCTGACAAAATTTTAAGGAATAGATCTACCGGTCCGATATTCTCCATTGAGAGATATTAAAAACGGGAAAATCATAAATTCCTAAGGCTAAGGTTGAGACATAGGCAAAGTCAGTCCGCTGGTCCGGTATTCTTCAATCTTTCCCTGTTTTGAAGCTCTCTTTCGTTTTTCCAGAAGAAGAATAGGAATAGCACCTCCTTGCATGCGCAGATCGACTGCTGTTCATCAGCAGTTCGGGTACGTTCAGTGCGGAGTTTTAGGTTTTTTTTATTTTAAAAAAGTGGCTATTCGCTATTCTCACCCGCCCGGAAGTTCTCGCAAGATCAACTCCTCCCATCTTCTCTCTCTCTCTCTGTCTCTTTCTGAATACTGTCTATCGGTGTGGACGATCAAATTGACCAAAACAAAGTTAAAAAATGATGTTAAAACACAAAAGTAAATAAATTTGGTTGTCTACAAAGATGCTACGGCTATTTAACTTTTCGAATCGAGCCGAACTACGCGGGTCGCCATTTTGTTTTGCCCGGAAATTCTCGCGCTACTCCTCTCTCTCTTTCTCTCTCTCTCTCCACTACGCACAGACAAAATTGTACGCTTTTAGTAGGCTACAGTTGTAATGGAACGTTTGTTCACGGCACAGAATTCTACAATTTTTCTGTTATCACAGTGTAGAATTCTGTGGTTTAGGGAGAACGCAAAATTTGGTGAACGCGCACCGGGTGAGAATAGCCACAAGACTCGCCTGCACTATTCTCACTCCGGGTGAGAATAAAGGTGGCCTTATTTTAATGACCTCTCGCCTTTCATTCTAAAGTCAAATTATTAATTAAATGAAGAAAACCATCACCCTTTCCTCCAGAAGAGGTTTTTTGTCAGCGTAACCATTTTAAAAAAGCGTTCTTCCGAAATTTATCCCAAAACATGTTAGTTTCACTTTGATTTTGTAAAACTCAAGTAGACAGGGTAACTCTGTTCGCAAAGAGTGCGCTTTTGTGAAGAGGGCGCCACCAAATTTTGAGGACACTTTTTTAATTGTCTCAAAGAGAGAAGGGGCCCATCTTGTTATGTACTATCTTTGCTAGTACTTTTTCAAGGTATCGAGTGGGGCGCTATCGGTCGCATACGAGTCAGTCCCCCCCCCCCCCCCCCCCCCCCCCCGGCAACTGATCATTATTACAATAATAAACTAGTCTTGACGTAGATCTACGTTATGGATTGTGCGCTGGTCTATGGAATCAAAGGTTGCCGTATGCTCGGCTCTACACAGCAACACAACTTTTTCTTGGTAAACAATCGAGATGACACAGGCTTGTGTATTTTAACGAATTGGTCTTTTTTTTTTTACACACAGCTCATAATATATGCAGGTGCCAGGAGATCTGCTAATCTTCAATTTTACCTTTTTCTACAACAAAGAAAGTGGGAAACATGGGGGGTGGGGGGGCGGGGCGATCCGGACATTGGGCATTGCCTTGTTAGTGAGACAACTTCTTGGGCCTTCGGCATATTGTGGTAGGGTGGCCAGTTCCTTTCCACGCCATCTTTACTTCCCCAACTCGAAGTCAGGTACCCATTACTGCAGGGTAGGCTGGAGGGGGCGAAAAAAATCTGTGTCCTAACCTCCGGATTATAAGTAAAGACAAAAATATAACTATACTCTTCCAAGTATTTAGGTAATCACGTCTGGACAGGTTGTGACTATTATCAACTGAGACTCAAACAAAAATTATTTGTAAAGGAGAGGGGGGGGGGGGGTAAATAAATCGAAATGGCTAGCCGTACTTAAGCACTAGCCAGTCTAGCCGTACTTAGATCTAGGTTTGGCCCTATCGACTCGAACCTGTAGAGTACACAGGTCTCATTAGATCTAGATCTAGAAAATATTCAGGTTTGAATAACGGAGTGACTATTTCTCCGAACGTTCGGAGAAATAGTGCCGATCTTTATTTCTCCAAACGGTTTCCGGCTTCCGGTCTCGTGATTTTTTGCCTTTGCAAGAGTTCGGATATAGATTCTATATATCCGACATTTGCGGGATGTGATTTCAAAGTGTTCGGAGAAATATTGCTCAGCTTTATTTTCCCGAACGTTCGGAGAAATAGTGCTGGCCTTTAAATAATGCAAGTCAGTAAGACACCTTTTGGTTTTGTCTGAAATACAAATACTTTAGGCTTTGCAAACTAAAAATTTCATTTACAATTCAGCCATAAAGTACGGCTAGCCTGACAGTCTAGCCATACTTTTAAGCCTCCCAGTCTAGCCGCACTTATCTAAGGCCCTATTAACATGAGAAAACTGGTAGAAAATGTGAGTATTGTGAGAACACAAGAGTTCTAAAAAGGCAATTCAGTTTACCAGATTTTTAGCAACTTTAAATTAAACCAATGAGGATAAATCAGGGTTGCCATAGAGGATTTTGCAAAATCACTAGATTTCTTGAAAAGCTTCACTGCAGTCGAACCTGCCTTAACGGAAACCTGTGTAAAACGGAAAACTGTCTTAACGGAATCTCCCCGCTCCCCTTTGATATATTCCTCTTTAATTACCTGTATAAAACGGAAACCTGTCCAACGCGGAAATGGAAAGAAAAATCCGCTCCCTTCCGAGGGTTTCACCTGTCTAAGATGGAAAATGCTTTGCCTGCTCAGCCCTGATTTGAAACAAAACTCGCAAGTGTGGTTCCGCCGACTCTAAACTGAATGCTATGGTCATGCCGCTGGGCGAGGAAGGGGAGTAGGGGAGCAATTTGGGGGTAGATGTTACCCCATCATGTGAGCCCTGAGTGATGCAGATGGTCAGTGTAGAGTGTGGGTGTGAAATCTCACGACTGCCCGTGAGAGTGCTCAAGTAGCGAGCCACTACGGTAGCTTTTTTGAGTAGCCAGAAGCCAGAGGTGTGAAATTAGTTTGACCAATGCCTGCCGCCCTGATCGTACGGCCAGCCGAGAAAAGATATGTAAGTGAGGGGTGGCATTGGTGGTGGGTGGGGCTAAGGGTGGAAGCAAAGGAGATGTTCAAACGTTTCTGTTTTTAATAGGTCAAACAGTGGTCCTATGAATGGAAAGCACTGGTGGTAATTGGATAAGTAAGACTGATGCATGTCATTATCAGACAGGATAGCAGCTGAGAGGTGTGAAGTTTTGACCACTGCTTGCCGATCGGACAAGCGATCCTTGATCCCACCGGCTGGGCCTTTGACCCTCCCCCCCCACACCTCCATCTCCCCCCTAAATTCCCCTGTCTTACACGGAAAATGTCTAAGACGGAATTTTTTTCTGGCTCCCTTGCGATTCCGTCTTACACAGGTTCGACTGTATTTTCGTTTTTAAAAAAATCACTTGATTCATTTAAAAAGCCTGCCCCCCCCCCCCCCCCAAGAAAACCTATAAATCAATTTTGTTAAACAAAAAATTCTCAAGGCCCAAAACACTAGCTCTGGCAGCCGTGGGATGAATAACACACAGGTATCGATGTTTAGAACAGGTATCGATGTTTAGAACAGGTATCGATACTGATACCAATACCTATAGGTATCAAAGAATCGATACCTGCCCATCACCATGGGACACTGACTGTCTAGAAATAGATCTAGATCTAGATTCTAGATACATGCGATTAAACGTAGAAAGACACAAACTATTTTTAGGTAAGGCGCCCATCTTGTTCGACGTCAGACCAGGATACCCCTCCGATCACGTGACTACATCTAGTTGTTATAGCATCTAAAACTGGTGGTATTTTCCTTCCATCCCGGGGTAGGAGATAAAGCAGTGCCTGTAGGTGCAATGCCACAAACAAAAACTCAACTCCATCACAGAGAGATTGTAAGAAAAATGAATGGGTATGTTGGTGTCTGTTGTATTATATTAAGAAGTTGTTTGAGGAGATAAAGAAGAGAAATACGCTATTAAGAGCATAGTTGCTGTGTGTTGCTGAAATACAAAAATTATAATATAATAATACTAATAGTAATAATAATGCCAATTAGAAGCTAGATTTTCCCCTCCTCCCAAAGCAATTAAGTCCTCTCATCCGAGAGATGGGGGCAGGGGAAGGCATGGCAGATCCCAGAGGGTTTAATGTTGTCAACAAGCAAGACGCAAATGGTCTCTGCACCTTCTCCGCAGTCATAGGGCTCTCCGATAAGTGCATGCTTAATACATGTATGTAGCTGGGTATTCCCTACGTAAAGTCACATCCAGTACAGTGCTGACATTGAACCTCTGCTTTCCACCCCACCAATACCCATCCCAACTCCAGGTCAAAGAAAAGTTGTCGATGGAGAGAGGTTTGTAATATAAGTTCTGGGTGGGGCTTATAGGTTATGAGGGGTCACACTCTTCCCTCACCAGCAGCTGAAAATTTGTTACCTATTGGTAAACTGTGGAAGGGGCCTACGCAACATAATTGGTTGGAGGGACTACCTATCAACAACGACAGGTGATTGGATTATGACGGCTCGCCCACAACGCCAGGGGCCAAAGCACAACTTATAACAAAACGTAATGGGGTCACTGAGGTGGCTGTCTAAGACAGGTGTTATTGCTTTGTGTGATAGGGGTTGTGTGTTAAAATATGTTGCCGCAGCCATGTTGGACAGGTGCCCGTTTTACACAGTTAAATTATATAGAAAAAAAGCAAGGAGGGAGATGGAAAGTGGCCGTTTGTACAGGTGGCCGTCTTATAGAGGTGGCCGTCAGGGCAGGTTCAACTGTATATGATTGGCTACTGAAAACTAAACAGGTTACAAAAAGCCCATTGCTGGTTTTCCCACACCACTTTGAAGTTGTAGAAGGGACGAATGGAGAACAGTGCTGATTCTTTCGAGATTAAAGTTATATAATTTCTATAACAGGTGGGGCAAATTCAACTAATTTCTACCCAGTATGTTTAAAATTAGACCAGAGTAGTTTTTAAACAAAGATGTGATGAAAATTATGAAGCTTTGTCTTTGTTAAACCTGCCTTCCAAGCCAGTGAGCCCCCCCGCGCCCCCCCTCATAGCTCTTCAAGTAAGGGATGTTGCGCGGTCAAACAAATGTTCACACTAATATTAATTAGTCTTAAAGATCTTAAGTAATAAAGACATTGAAAAATGAATAGCAGAACTAGATTCTGGCCACAAAAAAATCACATATTGGGGATATATGCCAAGTTTCATTCAAATATACTTCATTTCATTAATGATTTATGAATGTAAATTCCTGAAAATACATCAAGAATTGTCCCACTTTTTGACGATATTTTCTCGTAATGATTATAATGCATAAAGGTTCCCCCAAAATTTTGCAACAAAAAGCCCAATAACTTTTATTTTTATCTATGCATTAAAAAAAATTAAAAACAACAGTTCTTAGAATGTAATCCTCTTTCAACTGTCATATGTTAACTTGTTTCAATGCAATTTGAATATATATACAAATTTGATTTTTTCATCGTCATTGCTACTTTATCAGTAGGCCTTTCCTATAGCTATATATCTTGGAAATGTATGTGTGATGTGTTGACTACTGTAGCACTGCCGATGACAATTAATTAACTATTCATTTAAATTTCTTTAAAATAAGCGTAACTAAGTGGAAGAGCTTTTTTGTACTGTGAACAGTGTACTTTTTGGGTTTTTTAAATTAATTGATGAATAAAAAATTATGAATATTTTCAGTAGTAAAACATTTTAGTATGTTGAAAATATGCAAAAATGGGCAAATTCTTGAGATATATTTGAAGAAAAAACTGTTCTTTAATCAGGAATAAAACTGGTAGCTAGTGTGATTTTTTAATGTAGAACCTAGCTCTGCTTTCAATTTTTCAATGTCTTTATTACTTTTAATTTATTTTCATTCTTAGGAATTCTTGTGACTATATAATTACCTGACATGCCGCGAGCGAGTGGCATTGCTAGACAACTGCAATGAAATCAATTAAAAGAAATGGTTCTGGTTGTAACTCAAGCTATCTTCGGTTTTGTAGTGAAGGGTACTGGAATAACGAAAATAGCTTAATGGGGTTAAGGGTAGGGGCAGGCTTAAGTTGAGGATAGAGTAATCGTTGGACTCAAAACCAGGTTATCCTATTACATACTATATATATATATATATGACTGTGTTCGGACAAATTTAGTCAGGGCCAGGAATCATGAGTGTTTAAACCAGCATCTGTCGTGTTGTGGTTTGGCACTTCGGTGTGGTGCGCTGAAAACCCAAGCTCGATTCTCATGCTGAGAGAATATTTATTGTGTATCTTAGACTTTCTGCAGGGATTTCAAGTGGGTCCCTTTCAGCCCAGGTTGACTCTGGCCCTGACAGGCGGTGTTGAAGCCCACCTCTTCCTATTTGATCCAAATTGTGTCGATGAGAATATAAACTACCTATTGACCCCCCCCCCCCAAAAAAAAAAAAAGAAAAGAAAGAAAGAAATTTAAAAAATGAAGTAAAATAAAAAAATAAATAAGAAATTAAATTTTGAAAAATTTTAATTTAAAAAAAGTAAATTAAAATATAATTAAATCCACTCCCCTCCCACCCTCCCTTGAAAAAGAAGAAAGTCCCCCCCCCCCCAACCCCCATTAACAAGGAGTGTGAATAATGGATAACCTGTGAAAAAATAAAAAGTTGTCTGTTGTCTGTGCCAATGTGAACATATGAATAAAACATTGTAGCTTTGGCATGGCCAGTACCTACATGATGATGAGCCCACTGTTCAGTTTCTTGTATTTTGTCTGTGCTCACAGGGGTACCTTTGAAGAAGCCGACCAACGTTCAAGATTTAACAGCAAGGGATAAACATGGCCGGAGACGATTTCACGGTGCCTTTACTGGTGGTTTTTCTGCTGGCTTTTTCAACACTGTTGGAACGAAAGAAGGTGATTAATTTTGTAGTTATAAGTAATATAATATATGCATATATTATATGAAGGTAATGCTGTTTACTGATGTTTATTTATTCAGTTACTTTTTCTTGTAGAGAAATCTATACACATGTAATCTTTATTGGAAATAGCGAGGCCTAATTAAAAAAAGATTATTTTATTTGTTTCAATGAAATGTTTCGCAATTTTCTGTTAAGCCATGTGCTACTTTGCGTATATTATAGTTAATATCTTGGATTCTTTTGGAGATTTTTGCAATTTTACCTCGTCACTGATACTTAATGGAGCGTCATTGTATTTGCATGGAAAGGTTAAATACAAAGGTGGCATCATTTGACCTGGGTTTTCTTTTATAATCTGTTGATTGTTATGAAGGGCTTTTCAGTTTGTTCTCTTTTCGTTCAACTAACAGTTAAACTGATGTTGTTTCCTGTCTGTGTTTGTATTTCAGGATTCATGCCATCGGAATTTGTGTCTTCAAGAGACAAGAAAAATGATGGGAGACAGGAATTTAGACCAGAGGACTTTATGGATGATGAGGTTATTATCCTTTTCTATATCTTTCTCAAAATTAGAAATAGAATATTGTTAGATTAGACTTAAGCTCTAAGAATAATATTTTCTTTTTCTTTTTTTTTTAAACACGAAGGTAATTTAACAGAAAAAATTAGATGCATTACATATATAAATACTTATGTGTTCTACAGTTGCACATAACATTCTGAGGTGTATAATGTTTATCCTAAATGGTTGGGAGAAAAGGTAGATTTTTTGTCGCCTTATAATGACTTTTCTTCTCGGCTGAGGCATTATTATTTTTTACAAGTCTAATTATCCTTCAATTCCTTTGGGAATACTTGTTGTTATTTACTATGATTCACGAATGAAGTCCGGAAAATATTTTCAGTTCATTCACCTTAAAAAGTTGCTTCAAGAAGTCATGAGTTTCGCTGTTCAGTAGTTACAGAAGTTGCTACAGACAGTATAGCTTTCGACTGGACAGTTTCCTGATGTTTGTGTGGCAGGTGAATCTCGCGGACTTTCAGAAAAAATATTTTGTTTCTGTACAATGTAAAATATCATTATAGATAGGAACAAACTGTAGTCGCGCTATTTTTATGGATTACTTTTTTTTTCACAGGATTTTGAAGAACATGGTATTGCTCCCAGGAAGTTTGCAACAGTATCCAGTTATACGTCAGAGGAGAGAAAAAGAAAATTACTTGATGATGCTCAACAGATAACTGCAAAATCTTCCATAGATTTAGGCTCGTCCATTATGGATCTCGTCATTCCAGACAGGTACAGTTTTACTTTCATTTTATAGGAACTTGAATAACTGATTGCCCGCTTTTTTCAATAAGTTGATGTAGCCCTTATTCTCTTTTCTTTCATTCAAATCTTGTGGTTTTGTGTATGGTTTGCATGAACTTTAGTTTTGTTTGTCTAAGGAAAAAAATGTAACGGCTCATAGCATGTCGCATAAAGTTAAACACAAAGTTTGACTTTCTGATTTTTTTTCAGGGTGCCGATTGGTATCAAACTACTCCGCAAGATGGGATGGAGGGAAGGCCAAGGGTTAGGGCCTCGAATAAAGAAGAAAAAGAAGAAAGGAAAGAAAGCAGCTTCAGCAAAAGGTACAGATATCTCATCATTAAGTGCCAGGTCTGCAAACAGACATTAGTAACTATGTTTCATTATTCATTTCTTTGCTTGCAAAAATCTCAGGGGGCTCTCATGGCCTAGAGGTTAAGGTGTTCTACTCTCAGTTCGAGTTCGAATCCGGTTAGTGACGTAAAATTTTCTTTTCTAAAATTTTCTCTTCTCTCATCCTTTCGTGCTGTCTTACAATGTTCTGTCATCTGCTTTCGTCTCCACTTTCTACCCCTGCCCCCTCAACTCCTTTGCCCCTTCCTCTGTGCTCCTGACTCTTTCTGCAGCCTTTGTACTGCTACTCCTTGTCTCCTTCTTGCTGCTGTCTTTCAGTCACACCCCTGATCTTATGGTAAGTAAGATCTACACCGAGCCTTCTCAGATAAAGGCGAAAAGTCTTGGAGGTCCGGTGTGCAAGCTGTGCGCATTAAGGATCCCTTAGTGGTCCAAAATCGAGAAGAGTAGGTTGCGGCTGCCACACCGGCAAAATTCTAAATTTCCTTCCAACTTAAAATGTTTAATGTGTTCTGCTCGCTCATATGACCTTATGCAGTTGCGAGCACCGCAAAACACTTACTAAAGAAAAGAAAATCTTTCAAGTCCAATATTATCCTGATCTTCCCCTACCACGCGTCCTTTTTTCAGGAATGGACTTTTAAAAAAAAGTAATCTTTAGCTATTGTCATATGTATTGTAAATATTTTTTGGAACATGTATGCTTAACAAGTCATTCTCTAAAGGTGAGCGCAAATGGAGTAACCATATATAAGGGAAGAGGGAGAAACTTCAAATAAATGTCAGAAATTTTTGGTAAAGTTTGTTTTCCTGCATTGTCTTTCAGGAGTGAAAATGTACGGTTGTGCCCCTCCCCCATCTGATGAGGCTGATTCTGTAAGTCAACAAAAACTTTGTGTCTAAAGAACATGTGCATTGTCTTCGTTTATACATATAAATGTAATATTAATGAAGTCACTTCTTCACATGTTCAATCTGTTTTGATTTGAAGTCTCGTAGGAATACAAAAATGTTTTTAGTATGGTACTGTAGACACCGCTTAAATGCACGGTGCGGGGGGCTCCTGGGCGTGTGTTTACACGGAACGTTCATTTACATGAAGCAGTGCAAATGGAGGAAGGGACGCAGTCATCTCATTGTCTTGATATTCTAGTGGCCTCCCTTTGGGGGGGGGGGGGTCACTTTGGGCCGATAATATGACGACACGTGACTGTTTTGTGAAGGATTCCCCGACTGCGGTTAAGAATACAAGGGCGTTGAATGGGGGTTGGGGGGCGGGGGCAGAAAAACAGACTCAGTATAATGATATGCACCATAAAATGTCGGGAACAGATAGCCTTAGAGTAGAGGAAATTGTTGTTGATGGTCATAGAGACTACGACGCAGCCACGTGGCTTTCCAATCGACCACCCCGACCGTAAATTCATGAACGACATCAGAATCATAGATCTCTACTTTCAGAGAAACATTTCTCTTGTGATTCGTTGAACAAGTACGTTATATGTTCTTCGAGCGCAGCTGATTAGGCTTACTCGACTAATCTTTAATCCTATAAAGTAGGGCCTATCTAATGTTTTACTGCATGGATTCCTTACTGCATTCACGTGTTTTGCGCATCAAAGCCTAAGTCTAACTAAACAATACTAAACATTACACGCGGTCACCCAAACACCAGTCAGAAACTTTCTCTCAGAGATGCATTTCCTGTGACCATAAAAAAACGTTCCAGCCCCCCAACCCCCCAACTTTTCAGCGACCAGTCTGTGTCTGTGGAACGTTGGGTGTGAAAACGCTGTCCATCACTCACTTTGTTCGGCGTGAGAGGCATTCTCACCAACTATCCGGTTTTCTAGGCTTGTCATGTAAGCTGTGCAGGTTGTAGTGGAAATTTCCCTTTGTCCAACTTTACCTGTCGGCTTCTTTCACAGATCAGAGCGTGTGTTTAAAGAGAGTGACCGTGGGTTTTTTAAATATATAAATTATATAGTAAAAAAACCCGTCAGATGACGAAAGCAAGCGTTTGAGCAGAGAGTGCTTTTGCATGGTGTGCGTTTTGACGGAGACTACTGTAGTATATTATATTTAAATGTTTTGCTCCTTTGTAGGGTACAATGCGCTCCCCATGGCAGTGCCACTGACTGAAATGTCTTTAGGCCAGTCCCAAAGGGGGGATATTAACATGTTCTCATTCACAGTAGAATTGGAAATGGACTGATTTATCAAATGTCATGCTCATACTGTGCCGGAACAACATAGGAGGAACTGCTGCTTTCTCTTTCCTGATCCTTACTATCGTCATGTTTCCTCTACTTCTTTTAAATGTTTGGCACTCTCATGTGAACTGCTATTTACGGGGTGCCTTTTATAGTCAAAGCAGACTTTGTACTGTTGAGGCTAGAGAGGTGAGCCAAGTAAGCCTGATTCCCCGTTTGGACTTCTTTGGTGACATCCACCCCTTGGTGCTCATATAACCTTATGCAGTTGCGAGCGCCGTAAAAACCTTTCTTTTTTTTCTGTTTTCTCCTCAGCAATGACTAGAGTAGTCTCTTCTAACTTTCTGTCACTTTTTCCATTCAAGGACTCTGATCGGTATGTGCCGGAAGATATGTCTGAAGTATCGTTTGCCCCCCAAGACGTCTGCCCCATTTCTCTGGAGGCCAAAGACAACGTTCATGGTCTGGGATACCGTGGCCTTGACCCTAGTCTTGCCCTATCAGGGTCACACATCAACTTGTTTGACACTGGAGGACCTGCCAAGTCTCGTTCAAGAGGCAAAGGTATAAAAGGACAGGTGAGTGGAAACATTTTGCATAGACTGGATTGGATGTGTGGCGTAGGTGGCCTAGAGGTTTGGTTTCTCGAACTCTCAACCGTAAAGTCGTAGGTTTGAATCCCGTGAAGGTCCCGACCATATGTCCTCAGGAAAGGCACTTTACACAAATTTTCCTCTCTTCACCCAGGTGGAAATGGGTACCTGGCTATGGACAGTGAAAGATCTTGCCAGTTTGTTAGTGCTTGAGCATGTGAAATCTGCTGCTTGCATTGTGTACTTCCTGGGAAGCCGAGAATGTTTCTAAGTGTCTCAGGGTCTGCTGGGGTAATAATAGTTATAAAGCACATAGAGCATGCTGTAGAGCGTGGATATGCGCTATATAATGCAATTATTATTATGATGAGGCATTATGTGTGGTGTGTTGTGTGTGTGTATATGTGTGTGTGTGTGATGAAACACCAAACCAATGAGCTCTCGTCTGGACAACAAAGATTCATCTTATCCTATTTCATATATCTTTATCTTAACCCCTTCAATGCTGCAGGTAAATAGGCCCCTGTGTCAGGAGAAATCCCAAGAACCTAGGCGGCTCAGGGGTGACCCCACTCTACCTCCCAAAATGTTTTTATTTATGAATATATTCTCATGAATTTCTGCATGTATATTCTACACTGAAACATGTTTCTATTGATATATAATTTTAGGGGGATTTCATTGAGAGATAGATGGAGAAAAGTTGGAGTTAGTAACATGATGCCAAAAACAACACCACCAAACAACACACATTCGAATAATGAGACAAAAAAAGGGGAATACATGTTGCGTGAGTTTCTGCAGGTACAGATGCTTTTCCTGCCTTATGCTATACAACGCTCATGCAATCCATATATATAAAACATGTAAGCCCGTCTGTGTTACTGCCAATAAATCATTTTTGTGCAGTTGATGTGTTAGATCTAGATCTGATCTTCTATTTGAGCTAAAATCTGAATCTGACACTTTCAAATGAGAGGGAAATGGTTGTAAATATAAAGGGAAGGTACCCCAATAATAGTTACAAGATTTTAGCAGTAACTTCCCTTATTATTGGTATCAAAACGACCTCTGTCAGTCCCGTAAATTCTACGGGCCATAGGCACAGCGCCACATTTTTCAGGCTCGTAAATTCCAGGCGCACGGCAGTGAAGAGGTTAAGGGCTGATTTGACAGATGACTCATCCTTCATTTGATTAATTTGAAAAATATTTGACCTTGACCAGGCGTTCGGTGTTGGTGTGTTTGAGGATGAGGACGAAGACATCTATGCTCAAGAGGACATGTCTCAGTACAACAACACCATGGATGGCGGGAAATCGAAAGACAGCAATTTTGGCTGGACAGCTCCCAGGGAGCATGGTAAGGATGTTTAAAGCTCATGGCATCTTGTTCCATTTTTAGAACCACAGAGTAAGTTTTCCAGTTATACAGAGTTATCATAAATTAACATTTTTCTTTCGGATTAACATGTTTGCTTTGTCTCAGAAAAAGCTGATATTGAACAAGCGTTAATTACATGTACTATATTTTTTTGCTTTTAGAATTTTAAAGAATGAGGGAGAGAGGAACTTCTCCTGCCGTTTTATACATATTTTTGTGTATTTATTTGTTTTGTCCACAGGTAAAGTGAATGTTCCTGTCAGCTATGTCGGCAAACTGTTAGAAGGATTCTGCTTGTCATCGAAGCCGCTCAAACCCGGAAGGGTAAGAATATTTTTTCATAAGGGGGTGAAGAAATTATCACTTAAAAAAAAAAAAGAATGTGAAACAATGTGAAATTTTAAAGTTGTCTTAACACAACAGGTGGCAGCAGACCTGTCTAAAACTGAACAATCGGAGCTCTCCAATTGGTCACAATTGGTCACTCTGTAAGGCAAGCGGTCTGACCCAGATTTCGGGGTTTTCCAGAAATCTTGACCTCCACCAAAAGTGGGCATTGCCCTACCTATAGGAGAAATTTGGTTTCAATGGTGTGTATATTTCTTTGGTTATAGAGAAGACTCTAGTCTTTTAAAGAAACTGCACATGGGGCAAAAACTTAACCTTCGATTTTCTTAAAAAAAGCTTTTTTCGGGATAGCCCCTTTGTGCTTAAAAGCGACCAATTAGTCCTTTCTGTTGTTGTTTCCAGAAATTTCCTCCTCCGACCTTGCCTCGCCACTTCAAACCGCAGCACTGGTTCAGGAAAAAGAGAATCACTAGTCATCTCCCTGAGGACATTGGTGTGGATGGCTCTGAATCTGGGTCAAGGTCATCTGGGTTGACAGCAGTTGACCGAGGTTTGATACTGGGAGAGACACCTGTCATGAGTGAGTACTGTGATGTGAATGTTTTTATTTTTAAAAATTTGTTAACCAATTTTTAAGCATTTTCCAATGAAATCAATTTGTGAATCTTCTGCTGTGAAATAATGATACATGCATTTTACCAACCATATTTTTGTGATGTTTGAATTGTTTTTTCTCCTTGGAAAGAGTGACGAAAGTTCAATTGTTTCTTCTGTTGAGCCATTCAGTTACTGAAAAGAAATAGATAATGTGGTAAGGGAAGACTCTGAGCTCATATTGTCCTTCCTGCAAAGGATTTCCTTTAAAAAAAAATAATTTGGAGAACTGTATCACTGTAAAGAGTTAAGAAAACAAAACTTATAGTAAGGGTATTGTAGCAATTATTATGCTTTTATTAAATTTGTTTGCCTTTCAATGTCTTTCACAGCCTTGTCTGTTGGCTTGCTTTGTACAAATAGTATACCGATGCCTTTGGTGTTCAGTGGTCTCCTCCTAAATGCACGCCATACAAAAGCATGCTCCGCTCAAACACACGCTTTCCTCATCTGACGGGTTTTTTACTATAAAATTTAGACGTACAAACGCACGGTCACTCCCTCTAAACGCACGCTCCGATCCGCGAAACACGCTGACAGGTTAAGCTTGACAAGGGGAAATTTTCACTACAACCTGCACAGCTTGCATAGACAAGCCAAGAAAACCGGGTGAGGGTGGGGTGATTTGGGGGACTGAAATGTTTTTTGATTGGTCACTGGAAATGTATCTTTGAGAGAAGGTTTCTGGCTGGTGTTTGAGTGACTGCTTGTAATGTTTAGTTAGATCTAGGCCTGATGCGCGACACCCGTAAATGCCGTAAAACACTAGATCTAGACAGGATAAAAGATTAGATAAGTAAGCCTAATCAGCTGCCCTCGAAGAACTTATAACGTACTTGTTCAACGAATCACAAGAGAAATGTTTCTCTGAATGTAGAGAATGATTCTGCATGAATTTACAGTCGGGGTGGTCGCTTGGAAAGCCACGTGGCTGGGCTGTCATCTCTATGACTATCTCCAGCAGTTTCCTCCTACACTATCTGTTCCCGGCATTTATAGTGCATAATAATATGATTTATTACATGAAGTCTGTCTTTCTCCCCCCCTCCCCCATTCAACGCATTTGTATTCCTAACCCGTCCGGGAATCCTTCACAAAACAGTCACATGCCGTCACATTATCTGCCAAAATGACCTCCTCCCTCCAATGGAGGTCACTAGAGTTAATGAGTTGAGATGACTGCATCCCTTCCTCCCTTTGCAAAGGTTCATGTAAACGCACGCTCCGTGTAAACACACGCTAAGGAGCCCTCCCGAACACCGTGCATTTAGGCAGAGACTGCTGTACCTCCCAAAGACAATCACTAGTGCTAATGATGCTGTTGAATATGTCCATCTATCTACGACACCCTCTTTTCTCCTCAAAAATGGATGGCCGTCCAAAGACAATTTTGACTGTATTTCTTTTCATTTTGATTCATATGGAGCTGTCAAACCACAATACAAGTATGATAAATTATGTCTCCGTTCAGGCTCGGTGTTTGACCTTATACCAGCGCATGACAAGCAGAGAATAGAGGCCACCAAAGAAGCTATCAGCATGACCCAGTCCTTGACAGGATCAGAGGCCGGTCCATCCAAGTCAGCAACGCAGCAAGCTGGACCCACTGAGGTTTGACTTTTATACGAATAATTAAGTAATATAATAATAATAATAATAAATAACTTTTGTATAGGGCATATCTCTGCTCAGCAACAAGCTTTATGCCCTGTGTACAGATTCAGGTTTTTTTTTTACCATATCAATTTTCAAATTTGCACAGTCACCAAAATGTTAGTGTGGAGAATGTTGTACAAGAGACCGACATTAAACCGTAGATCCTGCCGCTTGAATAATCATGCAGTGCTGGATGGGGCATGGAGTCTCTACCATTTAGCTACAACTCTTTTTTTAGTAAGTTTTACAGCACTTGCAACACAATTAGTTCATATATACGTGCAGAAGATTGGAGATTTTTCAAGAGAGTAACAAACACACACACAAAAAAAAGGAGAGATAAGGACGGTAGCGTTTGATAGGAAAGAAGGAGTAAGCCATACCAGAGCACCCACCAAGCACCCATGCTGCTACTCTACTGGAATGTGAATATTTCTGGTTAAATGGGTAAGTTTTCTAATTATCTCTTTTTTGGTTTCTATTTCTTAAAGTGCCGTAGAGATTGAATAATCAGTCATTCTTGAAAGTTTATCTACTTTAAATACGTATCTTTTTTTTGTTTAATCAGACATTTTGAGAGGCAGAGATTAATAAAGATATAATATTTTGTGGTCGGTGCAGGATTCTAAACAGCTAAATCTGAAATGGCGGTTTTGATTTTCTCCCTGAAATCTGACGGACATCACAAAACACATCCTATAAATGACTTGAAGCCAGATTACTTATCCAGTTAGTTGCTATATTATTGTTTCTCCTGCCCTCCAGTTTGTCATTGAAAAGTTTTGAAAGGTGGCCCCAGGTAGAAAAATTCCTATCTTTCTTCATCTTTGGTGTCATCTATAATTCTTGCATTCCAGAGTGGAGCCTTTTCACAACTGTCAGAGATGAGGGAAACGACTGAGTCGACTCAAGCAAAACCTGGCTCTTTCCTGTCAAAGTTCAAGCCTGCTGAGGTGACACCTGCTGACAACGGTAGTACTTCTACTTCGGGGGCAGCGCCCAAGGCCCCACTATTTCAAGGAGGTTTGAACTTTCAACCCTTCAGAAAAGACCCTGTTAAACAAGAGAGATATGACAGATATCTGACTCTGGTGAAGCAAGGAGTTCAAGGTGAAATTTTTTCACTTTTTTAGGCTGTTAAATTTGAGGGGGGACACACTTTTTTTGTTTGGGGAGTGAAAGATGGACTGGCTTTTACTTACTGAAAGGAGAGGTGCCAATTTTCTGTATAAATCTGATAGTCCTGTGATTTCTGAAATTGTGTGGATTTCACTGGACTTCAGGCTGATTGTCACAAAGGCTTGGTAGGCTACATGATGTTATTAGACAATATTATTGTAATTCTTAAGATTTTGAGTCCCCACAAGCATGATTCCATGTTATCAGAAAAGTTCTGGATTATTTCTGGCAGCCTGTTGGTTCTTCTGGAAGCATTGATTGATTAGGATATTGTATTTGAAAGCTTTGCTTTTTATATCTAGTATCAGATGTGTTATTTCTTGGTGTCATAATTATTTTCACTTCATGTAGTTGATCGCATAGAAATAGCAGCAGCAGAAATAAAGAGTCGAGAATTTGTCATTTGTGTCCAGCAATAACGGTCTTAACATCTACTTAGCAACAATAAGGGATTATTGATAGAGGTATATTTCTTCTTTTCTGATTTTCTTTTTTAAGAAAGCATTAAATGCACACTCTGTCACTTATTAGGTTCCTGCCCTGAATATTTTTATTGGTGACTGACATATTCTTGTGCCCTTGTTCTGAGTAGTAAAGTTTCACCATGTTATTTTAAAATAGTTTTTTTTGTCTTGGGCAGATCCTTATTCGTCTGTAGTGAGTTCTAGCATGACTGAGTGGGACAGATCGAGAGAGAGAGATGAATTTGCGAAAGCTGCCAAGATTTTCCGTCCATTGTCAGCAATGATGTCCTCTAGGTTTGTGCGAGGGGCAATGATTGACGACGACACAGCAGAGAAGCCCATGGAAGCAGAGGTTAGTTATTGTAATGATAAATGGCCTGTGCATAGTGAAATTTCCCCCTGAATAAGCTCTATGTGTTTTACAATCTATATTATTACCTCAGCAGACCTGATAGCATTCTGAAACAGCCTCAACGTCCTGGGAAGTATAAACAGTCAAAACTATCTAAGATGGCCACTCATTATCAAGGAGGAAAGTGGGCGTCATAGACAGCTGGCCATATTACACAGTGTCATTATAATTAATATAATGGAAAACATACCTAAGGGAGGACATGTTAAGTGGCTGTCTTATACTGGTGACAGTTAGAGCAGGTTTGACTGTAGTTGAGCAGGTTTTTAAAAAACTGTTTTGTTTTTTGGGAGGGGGGGGGAGGGGGTCAAGAAAAAAGTGTGCATGCTGACTCAGTGTGGAGAAGCTGACATCTTTTGTGCCTCGAACCTCCACTGCTAAGGTTTGTACATGATGCATGCATCTTACTTCCTTTTGAATAAATTCTTATATCTTCTGTTTTATTCATATCATATATATTTATATTTACATTTTATTCATTTCACAACTTATATGTATGAATGGAAACACTCCACAGAGTGAGAAAAGTGACCAGGGCAAGGCAGCGGACATGAAGATGTTTGGCAAGTTGACCAGAGAGGAGGTGGAGTGGCACCCGGATAAACTTCTCTGCAGAAGATTCAATGTCCCAAATCCGTATCCAGGGTGAGAGCTTTGATATTGACCCTATGAACCCATAGGTCGTAACCCAGATTGTACTCATTTCTCTGGGATCCTAATTTGTGGGTTCATGTGGGTGGTTGGGTTCAAGAAAGCAATGGAATACCGATATATCAGGAATTTTGTTTATTTGAAAGTGTCACATTTTAACGTTTTGAAAGTATAGAAATCTGCGATTTAAAAAAAAATCTTTTACTTGTTTTTTCTTTTGTTTAAAGCAAGAACAGACAGATATATATAGGAATTCATTTGTACCAACTGCAGTGAGGTTATTGAACACTCAGTGCTACAAATGAAACACAGAGAGAGACAGAGAGAGAGAGAGAGAGAAAAATTTTTATGGAGCGGTTTGCAGCACGTGAGACTTGTATTTACTAATGTCCTGTCTTGTGCGTATGCGTGAGTGGACCTATTCTTTGTAGCATCTGCTGCCATTGTGAACAACCAAGGCAAAATTCTCCCCGTGAGATGAATAAAGATTGTCATTGTCATTAGTTTAAGAACTTTCTGTTTGCCCTATTTTTCTCCCTTTCATGTAAATGTATGCCTTCCTTAATATGTTTTGAGATTTATTTTAGGATTTTGACTGGTGCCTGTCCTCTTGGCATGCTGGCTCATTTTAAACAACCAATGTGTCCTAAATGTGGAGAGTATGCATCCTAGTCATCTTTGCTTTTTGTCTTTTTTCCCCGAAAGACCTGATGTTCAGTAATGCCTGTTTTAGGATCAGATGTGTAAAATACTAGAAGTAGCATACTTTATCACTGTGCTGTCTAGGACAAGTTCTTCAGTTCTTGTATTTAAAAAAAACCTGTAGCCAAAAAAGTTAGTGAAACCTGCTTCTTGATTTCCCTTTCTGCAGAAAACGATTACACAGAATACACAGACACAATTTTGAGTTAAGCAAAGCGTTTATGCATTTTATTCCCTGCGAGCTCTATTTTCATTTGAATTCTCATCTTTCTTCATCAGGTCCGATATTGTGGGCCTAAACACGGTGAAGAGGGACAAGTATTCAGTATTCAACTTTCTCTCCTTTGGAGACTATCAGCCCAGTGAGACTCAGGAGCCACCGAGTGCTGAAACGAAGAGGAAGAATGGTTTGTGGCTCATTTCTTTGTAGCTTTTTCTTCATCTTCTCTTCCCACTCATTCATTCACTCACACAGATACACACACACAAACATACCCCTCCCCTCTTTCTTCTTTGTCTATGTTGGCCTCTTTTTTCCCCTCAAAAATGCTCTCCAGTAGATTGAACATCAGCATAATTTCACAAGCACCTCAGTAATGTTTTGAAGTTTTGAGAAAACCAAAGAAAAAGAGAGTTCCTAAATTAGAACATGATTCTGGCTCTGAAATTGTTCGTTTAGATACTAGGAAAGAATTAAAATTAAACAGAATGAAACTAATTTTGTAAGATGTTCATTAATGTCTTTACTCAAATAACAGTTGGAAATTGATTTAGGAGATTGTGGAATGATGGTGATGGTTTGCTTATTTTATTGATGATACTCAAAGGGTGACTGTGCTTAAATCTGAGTACAGTAGTCTCCGCCTGAACGCATGCCATACAAAAGCACGCTCCGCTCAAACGCACGCTTTCGTCATCTAACGGGTTTTTTACTATATGATACGCACGATCACTCCCTCTAAATGCACGTTCCAATCTGCGAAACACGCCGACAGGTAAAGCTTGTCAAGGGGAAATGTTCACTACAACCTTTGAACTTGCACAGCTTGCATAAGACAAGCCTAGAAAATTGGTGAGAGTGCCCCTCATGCCGAACAAAGAAAGTGATGGACAGCGTTTTCACATCCATCTTTCCACGGACACATAGGTCTAGAACTAGTCGGTGAAATTTTGGGGGGCTGAAATGTTTTTTGATTGGACACTGGAAATGTAGATCTATCTTTGAGAGAAGGTTTCTGACTGGTGTTTGAGTGACTGCGTGTAATGTTTAGTTAGAACTAGACCTGATGCGCGACACGCGTAAATGCCGTAAAACACAAGACAGGCCTCTACAGGATTAAAAATTAGATCTAGCCAAGTAAGCCTAATCAGTTGTGCTCGAAGAACGTACTTGTTCAACGAATCACAAGAGAAATATTTCTTTAAATGTAGAGAATGATTGTGCATGAATTTACGGTCGGGGATGGTCGCTTGGAAAGCCATGTGCTTGGGCCGTCGTCTCTGTGACTATGACTATCACCAACAGTTTCCTCTTAGGCTATCTGTTCCCGACGTTTGTAGTGCATATTCATTACATTGAGTCTGTCTTTCTTACCCACATTCAACGCCTTTGTATTCTTAAACCCACTCGGAGAATCCTTCACAAAAGTCACGTGTCGTCACATTATCCGCCAAAACAACCCTCTCTCTCCAAGGCAGGTCACTAGAGTAATAAGGAATTGAGACTGCGTCCCTTCCTCCCCTTGCAAAGGTTTATGTGAACGCACGCTCCGTATAAACACACGCTAAGGAGCCCTCCCGAGCACCGTGCGTTTATGCAGAGACTACTGTAACAGAAATAGGACTTTGTTTTCGTTTTTCACTCTATACCCTGCTCTGGAACAACCTTGCCTTCTTCCTTCTAATTACAATTGAATGTGTTCTCATAGCCACCTGTCTAAAACAATCACCTGTACAAACGACTACTTCCCATACCCTTTCACTTGTGTGGGTTTTTTTCAATATTATGACACTGTCCAAGACGTCCACCTGTCAAAGTCTAAGACAAACACTTTTCTCCTTGACAAAGGGTGGCTGTCATGGACAATTTCAATTGTTGACAGTTGTTCATAGACTGGGATGTTCTTTTCAACAATATTCGATGGATAAAAATGTTCAAATAAGAATGTGAAGAGTAAAAAAAGTAATGGCCTTTGATAAAAAGAAGTAAACCTATCAGAATCAAAATAACTCCCCCCCCCCCCCCCCCCCATTCATAATAAGGCTAATGACCAGTCTTATTTCTCATGGCACTGTTTCACTTTTTGAATGTCAAACATTATACATTTCTTCTACAGAGACTACAGAAACTACAGAGCCAGAGACTGGTTTTCACAAACGGAAGAAACCAACTTTAGCCTCTGTCTTCAAAGTTCTTGATGATCCAGATTTTCACAAACCCTTTGTGAGTTACTATCTATTATTAGCTGCTTTAACCTCTTATTGCTTAGCGTTCGAAATATCCAATAAAATTGTTTGAGGGGTTGTATGTAGGCTATATGTGATTGTTAAAAAATCATCCGTTATGAAATGCGAATAATTTGTTTACGGGCTCTGTAGCAAGATGCATTCGAAAGCTGCAAGGGGCACATAATTAGTTTCTTTTGTCTCTTTTGTACAGGGTCCATTCCATCTACGCATATGCTTCCGGGAACTGCATTTTTATTTTTTAAAACTGATTTTAACAAAAAAAAAAAAAAATGGGGAATCCATCTCCTTTCGTTAAATCCAAGTTTGTTGACTCTGAGTTCCACTGTATGTATTTCTGCATCAGGCTCCCAAGCCAGAAACTGAAACTGCTGACGGGGGAACCACTGAAACGTTGGAAGCTCCTGGAAATGATGAAGGAAATGAAAAGCCGGACGAAGACTCAGCTCCCGATATGGACTTGTTTCGAGCCATTTTCAAAAACTCTGATTCTGAGACCTCTGATGATAGTGATGATGACAAGGGTAGCAATGACCTAGGAGATGAGAAAGAGGAGAGTGATGCCGAAGATGTGAAAGATGTGACGTTAGTGGCCAGCCCGGAGGAACAGAGAACAGGTATGCCTACAGATAATGATAATTATGATGGAAAATTACATTTAAGCGCATTTTCCATTAAGAAAGTGCTCAGTGCGTTTTACAACAAATAATGCAGAGGACATAGCCCCAATAATGATCCTTTTACTTCCTCCCCTTCTCTCTTTCTCTCCTACCCTCGTCTCACTTCTTTTCTATACAGTTTTACTAATTTTTCATTGCTGATTGATCACGATAATTAGAAAGCTTAAAATATGCCTCAACATCTCAGTTCTGTATAAACGTATGAGGCTAACTGTCTTTGTTTAGTTTTTACTTTATTTCACAAAATTCACAGAAAAAATGTTCTATTTCAACTAAACCTTGATGTGATTTTCCGCAAGGAAAGGAAGTGCATGGTTAAATATACTGCAATGATTTTAGGGTGCCTGTTTTTAAAAATCTATATTATAATAAATAGTTTGTTTTGACATTTATTAAGCAGACCATTTTCCTTCACCCATAACAATTTTTATGATAAATCACGTTATTTCCACATGTATGATATCTCATGAAAATGATGAATGATGCTTTTATAATCCATTACCTTTACTCTTGTGTGAAGTAGTCATTAACATTTGAAGTGTTTTTTGACGAGCTTTAGTATATATGAAAGAGGAAATTATCCATCATGGTAATTGATATGAACTATGTGAGTAACAAAGATGGCTGATTTTTAAGCCCTTACACTCCCAGGATCTCCATCGCATACTCCACCGTCCAAGGAAGCAATAAAGGATGAGTTGTCGCCCGAGACAACGCCGGTCAACCAAGAGTTGACTCCAATACACAGGCAGTCTGAATCTACCGCCCGCCTTGAGAACCCATTCAGCAGTGTCCAGCGCGACCCGGGGGTCAAGTCGCGACGAGGAAGGTCACGCTGGGAAGGCAAGTCTGTGTTCAGCGTTCTTGATGACCTGGACGTGGAAAGTAAAGGTAGGATTGGGAGCCTTTGCTTGAGATGTTTTCTGTCTTTCTGAAAGCATTGTGTTTAAATGTCCATTCTTAAAAAAGAATGTTTTGTTTTTTTGTTTCTTTTTTTATTTGGAGGGGAAGGAGTGAGGTTGGGTAGGAATAGGCCAAGATGTCTTTTGACCCCACTCCCTATATACCCCAGATATGGTTGAGATGAGTATTTTGTTATGGTTTTATGAACAAAGAAAATTAAAATCTTGAAATATGAAGGAGGAAATTATCCATCATGGTAATTGGTATGAACTATGTGAGGAACAAAGATGGCTGATTTTTAAGTTGTGATTGTTTGGCTTGTCTTCCAGTTTCTTTGCATGAAATTAAAAAAAACCCAATATGTATTATGTATTTTCGGTGGCAAGGCATTTGGATATCTTCTCACTCTCACAGACAAGTTTTCTCTCTTTCAGATACAACGCCCAATGGTGACAGCGTGGCTTCGAGACTCTCACCCTCACAAACAGAAACGGTGACAGTTGATGAGAACACTGATGAGTATGGCCCTAGATTGCCACCAGGGCTCAGCTCCACCCCAGGTATGGTGGTTGTGTATTTGATCAAACATTTCTTTCGTACGAGTTTTACAGCATTTGCAACACAATTAGGTCATATAAGTGCTGAATAATAGACGTGTTACAAGAGAGTAACATACACAAAAAGGAGGAGAGATTAAGGAAGATAGATATTTGATAGGAAAGGAGGAGCAAACCACACCAGAGCACCCACTACCACCCACTATCGAACATTGATTGATGGGTAATTTCATTATAAATTTAACTACCTCAAATGAGGGGGGGGGGATCGTTTGGCACTCTAATATGGTCTGCTATTTCAACTTCTCTTCTAATCATTCTTAGTGAAATGTGACAGATGTTATAAGGGTTCACCATGAATTACACCTCCACTAAACATATGCAGTATGAATGGTTCTTTTAAATTTTCTAATGATTCAGCAGTAATGAAAAGTCAAGCTGTTCCATCACAGCAGTAACAATTTATTGCAGTGTTGTGTATCCTACACATTACACCCTAAGGGTCTAGATGGGAAGTCCATTGTTAGATCCTAAGCAAGGGGAAGGAACCCACCTCCCGTGAATACAAGCCTTTAAAAAACACATTTTAAAAATACTTAACAAATTCCAAAAAGCCTGAAAAAATAAGAGTTAAATCGAAAAATGAATGCAGTTTCAGAAAAATATAACTTTATGTATGCACAAACTGTTGGAAATGGTCTAACTTTAGTTCAATCGGGGTGTCCGACCCGTCACTCTCAGCCTCGCGGTCGGGCCCTAGATCTAAATTCTAGATTTTCTACTTCTGATCAATCGGAATCTGCCCAAACTCTTGCTACGTTTTCATCAAAATCTGAGTAATATGATTTGTCATATGCTTGTTTTTGCTCTAATCCATCGTTATTTCCTTTTTCGAACTCAATCGTGTCGCTTTTCAACAAGTCGAAACACTTTCGAAGTGTCGGTGACCGATCTCACTTCGTTCGGCTCTAATACTAAAACTGCTGGCCCTAAAAATTTCGTTTCGGAATCAAATGAAAGAAGAAACTTTTTGCAATAACTATGCAAATCAAAATCTCGGCCCCAGAGTCTCGTCAAGGCGAGACTTCGTTTCTAAAGCCGCTAGGTCGGTGCGGGCGGTTCGGGGTGGAGCGCGTAAGGGAATTCCCGGGCGAGTTAAGGTGTAATGTGTTAAGCAAGGGCAAATCTGGTCCAGCACTTACCACTTAATGACTTATGTCCTAGTGTAGCCTTAGAAAATTCACCACTAGAATCTAAATTGTGTTGATAGTGGTGTAAAGCACCTACAATTAAAATCTTTTTTTCATAAGAGTTTTACGGCACCTGCGGCACAATAAGGTCATATAAGTGCTAAAGAATAGTGGGTTACAGGAAAGTAATATACACTAAAAAGAAGGAGGACAGATAAGGACGATAGATATTTGATAGAAAAAAAGGAACAAACCACGCCAGAGCTTCCGCCAACCACCCTCGTTAAAATCTTTAATTTCACTGCAAGCGTTGCGAGTAATTAGATAGTGAAGGTAAAGACTAGCATCGCCAGTAACTAAAGGCAAAGACAGATTGCTCATGATTTTAACAATCTTTTCTCCCTCCAGCTCCCAGCATTTCTGCTTCTATCCAGCCAGTGGTGCGGGAGGGAGAACCAAGGCGACTGTATAGCAGGGAGGCGGATCGCAAGCGGCACAAACACAAGAAGGAAAAGAAAGTAAGCTAAAAAGTGAAGATTACTGAAATAAATGAAACGAAACTTCCCATGCATATTTATGTGTAATATAGAACTTTTTTTGTAGATGGGTCTAACTAAAAGTTTCAATTGACCCTTCGTGTGTGTGTGTGTGTGTAGGTGGAATATTCTATTTATCATGTTTGATAGATTGTAGAGATGACAAACGGGCACAGCTGGACTCTAGACAGGCAAGTATTTTCAGTAAAGATGAAAAGATGTTCTTAGTTCTGGAGGTCTTTACCACAGCATTTGAGGAGGGATGTGAAGCAGAGGTCAAAATTTGAAATTCATTAAAAAATTATAAAATTAAAATCAAACTTCATGAAATGCTTTCTAGATAGTGAGTCCTTATTCGTAGTACTCTTTAGTTCATAATGTAATGTGCATTTCATCATCTACTATTGTGCTGTATGATTGTTTGTTATGTGTCCGCGTTAATCAAAAGAGTGTATGCATACATGTTCATGTTAAGAATAAGACGAAGGTATTGTAAAGTGTTAATAAGAGCTGTGTGGTTTGCATGTGAGTGGGAGCTATAGAAATTACCTCTGCGCTATCATTATCATTTTATTATTAAAATCATAGATTTTAAACATTTTAGTAAGAGTTTTACGGCACTTGCAACACAATACTTTTGAATAAGGTCATAATAATATTAGTACCGAAGATAAGAAAAATAGCAAACACTAAAAAAGAAGGGGGAGAGATAAGTTTGTTTTAGTAGAGGTTTTACGGCGCTCGCAACTGCATGAGGTCAATATGAGCGCCAAAGGGAGAGATAAGGACGAAAAATGTTTGATAGAAAAGAAGACATAGCAGACCTTACCAGAGCATCCGTCAACAACCCACTTAAAATCTTAATCCACAGAAAAAGTCAAAACACAAAAAAGACAAGAAGGGCAAGAAACACAAGAAGAAATCTTCTCGGTCGGGCAAGTCCAAACAGGAGAGCTCTGGCAGTGAGGCTGACAGCGAGTCCAGTGATGGCTCAGAGGTCTCCGACAATGAACTTATAGAAAGGTACGGGGCTTGCATAGCTGACAAACAGTGCGTGTACGTTAAAAACATATGTGAGGCAGCGTGGTAAAATCAGGCACTCGTCAAAGTAACCAAAGTGAAGAAACTCTCATTTTTCCACAGGTTTGTGAATTTTTATTAAATTTTCGCTTTTTGGCTCAGCACCTTTCATGCCCATTAAAGAACATATTTCTGTGTTGATTTTACTGAAAAATGTTAATGAAAGGCACAAAAAATGTAAATTTTCAGTTTCCACAGACTCTCAAGCTAAGGAAATAACTCATCATTGAAAGCCATTTTCTCTCTTACTTTACCTGTGAAACTAGGCGACCTCCACCTCCTTCAATTACAAATATCTCGACTTCTATCCATGATAGATGAGCTTTTTTCCACTGAAAGCAAGACAAATGAACAAACTTTAAAATGATACCAATATCAATAACTCCAAATGCTCAAAAATTGACGAGCTTCTGATTCTATCACGTCGTGACACATGATTTAATGTCTCTTTGAGGGCCTGAGTACAGAAGTCTATTTTGGTGTCAGAAAATGCATCTACTGTTTTCTAGTATTGCTCCTGGAGTGTCATTACACGTCAACCTCTGAGTCAGAGGTGACACCTCCAGGTATCCCAACAGACTTGTCAACGCTGAAAAAAAAAATTGTGAACTTTCAAGACCGGATTTGTGAATAATAATAAGAACAAAGCCGAAAAGTAAATTGTTGTTGTATCCCCTACCATAGCTATCTATTGAGCACTAATATTTTCATCTGCGCAGAAAAGTGTGTTAAGGGTAGTTTTTGAGGGTCATTCTTAACTGTTTCCCACCCCGTCTTGACCCGCCGCATTGGTAAAATCTGTTAATTGGCTTTGAAAAGTTGGCAGCTATGGGCTTGTCACATTTTCTGAGTATTATTTCTTGTATCAGTTTCCTTTGCACACCCCACTCTGCAAGCCATTCTTTTGGAAAATTTTTAGGAGTATGAGCTGTGCAAGCCTTTTTTTTGTGCCAGCTGCATCTGTGCCTGAACAGAATAAGTTCTAAGAGAAGGAAAGATTTGCATGACTGATTTGCCTTTTGCAGTTATTTGTTTGTCGACCAAATTCCAAGTTAATATATAAGGGGATGAGTGTGTAAGTGTAAGGAATGATTAAGCAACACTTTCATTTGTAAACCTGATACGGATAGGAGATATAATTCTTAAACAAAGAATACAAGTATTTATGTTTGCTTCTTGACCTTTTGAATCGCTATTGTATACATTTGTTCGTGGTTCTTAGTAGTTGAAGCAAGGTTTCTGCAATATGATGACATTCAATGGATGAGCCAAACCAGAAAAGATTAGAATGGTAGTCTTGACAAGGCGAGGCACCACAAATCCTCTTCCTTATTTCCAGGAAATTTGCAATACAGACTGACAGTAGTTAATTTGCATTTTTTTTCTGCATTCTATTATTATTACAGTGGAGTCCACTCATAACGAGTCCTGAAATAACGAGAAGTCTATTATAAAGACAGTATTCTAAAACTCTGTTTTTTTCCCTTCTTTATCTTTGTAAATAAAATACTGCTATTGCGCAATCAGACAAACATGCGAATCGGTTATAGCGAAATATTGCTGCTGCTGTGCACCGTGCACAGACCAATTACACATGATAAAACTCGCCAGTTGAGAAAATTGTTGGTGATTTAGCGAAAGAATGGGAGAGCCCACGTGAACCAACAATGAAGGCCGGAGCGAATGAATGGGGACGGTGTGGCATGCGCAGACAAGCAGAAGGCATCGCGTGGTAGGCCAGCCTAGTCTAGTTTATCTGGGCCTACCATGCCTCTCTCTTCTCCGATGTGGGGATTTAGAGATAACAATGCTGTGATAGATGGAGCGAATGTGTGACGAGCACAAGCAGACAGAACGCACCACAGGGTGTTGTGGGGTGGGGGACAACACAGCGGGCGAGTTAACCTAGAGCCAGAGCCCTTTCTTTCTGATCACAAACACTGAGCTGTCAACATTGCTGGCGCTAGAGAAAGAAACCTGATTCGATTTTTTGACCAAGTAAGATCTAGAGGTCATGTTGAACAAAATCATCATCAGGGGAGATGAAAAGGAACAAAGAGAACACCAAACTCATAGATTAGGCCTACTTTATTATTTCCCAACGAGAATCCTACTATAAAGAACATTTCGCACCAGTCCCCTCCCTCTCGTTATAAACAGGATTCTACTGTATTCCTTCAAAATTACATTTGTACTATATGATGAATATCGTGCTCAGATAGTACTCGAAAATTGTTTCACGGTTGTGTCTTGGACATTTAAATAAATTACAGAGCTGTGATTTTTTCAATGTTCACATTAACTGTCAGTTCTCAGAGTTCTCTCTGAGGTACTACAAAGTTTTAAAAATATTTTTTCACCCAAAACTTTTTTGCAGGTTCAAGACTGTGTCCAAGAAGAGTGGGCTGACCTCCAATATTTTGGCCAAGAAACTGTGATGATTGAACTTCTCTTATTATTTTGGTTCTCAAATTTTTGTACAGCTATTAAAACCCTTGTATGTCAAATCAGACATGATAAAAAATTATCTTGTGGTGTTTCTTTCACATTATGTTCTTGTCAAGACAGTGTCTTTCATTTTCTTTAATCTATTGCCCAAAATATAGATGACTTTGAAAGTTTTTCCTGTATTATCAACAACCTTTTAACCTTTACGTTGCCACACCCAGCTAAGGCTTATGTAATTCCCATTGCCACCACATTTCAGTAAAAAACGAAGAAAATGACAGGGCGTAGGAAAACTGCTCTCATTTATAAACCGTTTAGCATAAAGCACTGAAATTTTCAGCATCTGTAGAGGGTAGGACGTAGTACTGTCCCCGTAGTTTTATGCAAGAAAATTTTGAAATTATGCAAACTGAGCCCAAAAATGGTAAATTATGCGATTCTGCTTATTTTAATAAAGAATGATTAATGAAAATAATCAGAAATTATGCAAAAAAATGATCAAATTTTGCTAAATAATGCGGGGTGCATAAAACCACGGGGACCGGTAGTACTGCAAGTGCTGATCTAAGGGATTTGTTTTCAGGATTTGCTAAAGTACTTCCAGTTCCAATGATGAACAAGAACATTTGGATTGCCACGCCCCCCCCCCCTCTTCTTTCATTACCAGCACCACCCCTTTCATCGATATCACGATTATTGTCACTGTTTCTACTAGAACTAGGCCTAGATCTATCGGCATTAGGTTCACAGTGTAAACTTGCAACTTGAATCATCCGATTCCACACCAAGTTCTTCGCCAGATTCAGAGTCCTGACGATTCAGAGTACTTTCATCATCTGAATCCATAAATTCCTGGTTGCTAATGAAAAGAAACAGCTAAAATCGCTTCAAACTCTGCGAAAATCGTTGATCTAATGCCGAGAACAACTTCCCAACAGACAGAAAAAGAAACAGAAGGCCGGACAACTGTCATAACTCAACTTTTCTTTTAGTAAGAGTTTTACAGCACTTGCAACACAATTGAGTCACACAAGTGCCGAAGATTAGAGGCATTACATGAGAGAAACAAACATAAAAACGGAGGATAGACGAGGATGACATGTTTGATAGGAAAAAAGGAGCAAACCACACCAGAGCACCCGCTAACCACTCTCTCATAACTCAACAAAAAAAACCTACAAAAAAATGAAAGATTATTAAATTTATTTCTTTAACTCCATTCAATCATTAATACAATGACAACATCATCCTTCACATGAATGAAAATGAAGCTAAAAAAACAAACAAAAAACAAACTGCAGTAATAACGAAAAAGGTTTAATTAATCTCTAATGTATAAAGAGTACAAAAAAAACAAACAAACGAAAAAAAAGGATATGGTCTGGGCAAGAACTCATCACTCTATCGTCTTAGCAGAGTCGCCATGCATAAATTAACTGAGAGCAACCTGAGAAAAATCTGTCCACGAATAATAAAAATTGTAGTATTATTCGTGAATTATTTATTAGCGAAGAAGCTGAAATAAAGTAAATAAACCCTTGCACCGGCTCTCCACAATGTTGGTACACGGTATTGCTAGTTAGCTTTAGCACCGACAATTTTTAATTAAGCATGACCACAGGAATTTCAGATCATTTACAAACTTTACTCAGCCAGTATTTTTGATAACCCCTAAGCTGCCAGGGAGTATTTTGATCGCAAAGAGCCACCACCTCACCAAAATTTAATATATAAATATATATGTGTATACCTGGACTGCATTGAGTGGGCGATCTGAGAAATAAATATTTTATAGAAAAGATATTATGTTGACCAGAGGCTTTTGGAAAATACAAGCAAAAGGACAAACAAACAAAAAATTAAAGTGTTACAGTTATTGTAGAAGAAGTACATACTATGTCAGCGTTAGAAAATCTGCGACGGTAGAGATATTAAAATTAAAAAATCACCCTAAACCCAGTTTCACCACTCAGTCATACGCAGACATGGAAACCAGATTGTAACCCCATAGTAAACTTAATGTTGAGGTACATCAATCATGAATGTTGGGAATTAACAATTCATTTAATTTACATTTATCACATTAGTGCCCCGTTAGCACATCATGAAACTCAAAAAAAATTGGTAAATTCTTCCGAAACTTTTTTTCCAAACCAATTGAAGCAAACAACCGGATTTCTCTTCTTACTCTCACAATACAGCCAAAAATCTATGCAATGAAACTTTTTGATTGCTACGAACAAGTGATTAAAATTAATAGATTGCAATGAGACAGACATTTCGACACAGAAGTTTTTCAATCAATGAGAGATCCATGATGCTGGGGCTGCTAAGATTGCTTGCTTTTGGTCCCGAGGTCAAAGGGCATTACAATGACCCATCGTTGACCCCAGCTTGGGTCATCAGGTCAGCAATGTTTTTCTCAAGGTCATCAATGCGGGATCCCATGTCATCTAGTGCACAAAATTAAGGGGAAAAAACGGCTGTTTTCATTTGAACAGAAAACAAAGGTTGACTGGTAAAGGCAGAAAACAATATTAATCATTAATATTAAGGCCAATATTAATCATTAATATTAAGGCAAACAATTTAAGTAGCCTACCATAAAGCACCGTAAATCAATAAGTATGAGTTTATTCTACTCTGTTTATCTAGTCATACTTTTTGGGACTACAACACAAATGTTATCTATTATTATCATAACATTAACTTTGAAAAAGCATTCATAACCAGCAACAATTTAACTCATTCGCTACGCCGAGCCGTGGGGGGCGGCGCGGCTCAAGTGCCGTCAGTACGCTAAACGCCCCTGGCGGCTCGAGAACCGACGTTCAATTTTAGCTTGGTTTCTATTCCAATCCACATAATCCATGTTAAAATAAAGGTCATAATATAATGTTGCTTTCCGGGTCAAGCGTTTCCACCGAAAATCGGAAGTTTTGATTCAGTTTTGAAACATGATTTCGTAGTTTATTCGACTTTGTTTTATCGCGAAGCCCAAATCATAGCCCAGACACCAGTCTTAGTACTTTTACATAACAAAATGTATCATTATTTTGCTCACTAAAGAAGTGTAGGACTCTTCTTTATAATATTGATACTATTGGACGCAAATTGCCGGTGCACTGTAATTGAGAAATCAATATTTTTGAATGCTAGATCTAGGCCTAGATCTAAATAGTCAAAATGTTTTTCTCCACAAAATCACTACTTTTGGGTGAAATTAATCAAAAAGTACCACCCAAGACATGTATAGGTTTATTCCAAATGCAATTCTGAATAATTCACTATAAGTTACGCGTATTTTTTTCTGTTTGTGATCCTTTTTTCAAAATTATTTTCAAAATCTTTTTTTTTCAATATCGGATGTTATGATCCAAATGTACAAATATTATGGAATGTATGTAAATAACTGCACATTTTTCAATATTTTCCTGATATACATTTATGGTTATTTTGAGGTATCATTTGACTAGGTGCAAACATATTTTTTTAGTTTCACCTGAGATTATAAATTTTTTATTTTCCAATTTTATCCGCATCCAATCACAATTGTGTTGCATAATCGCCTCTTACAGGAACCAAAGTTGAAAAATACGCAAATAAATAATGCAGATGTATTCTACAAACCATACTGAAAATGTTGGTATATAATATGTTGATATTTATTTTAATTTATGGCCCCAAAGACCTGTGAACTGCACACCAGTCATATATCTCATTTCGCCCTCCCGAAAAGAATTCGCCCACAAGCCGAAAATAATACGTAGCGAATGAGTTAAAGCATTCATCATCTGAATTCTGAGTTTCAATGCCTCCTACTTGTTCCAGCAATAAAAAAAAGGATATTCCTGTTGATGATTTGGTCCGACATGTTTTGAAACTTGTCTTGCATCTGCTGCAGCAACGTCTGAACCTGTAATAAGGAAAAATACAATCATGACCTAAAGTATGTTCTTTAACACGTAGCTTTTTATAAACGCCTAAAGCCACCAGTAGTATTGTAAGCGTTGAGACAAAATTTATGTTGCCCCAAGCAGTGTATCATAAAGCACAAAACCACAAAACAAAAACAACAACAACAAAAAAAGAAGCTCTAAAACGCAAGTGGGGGCAATTGGAAATTAGTATGAAGAAAAAATGGGAATGAACCCCCCCCCCCCCCCCAAAAATAACAACAACAAAACAAAAAACAATCCAATTTATAAAAACATTTCTTTGGCAATCAAAAGAGATAGTATGGGAATGATACCATTTTCAGCTTCAAAAGTAAAATCCTATTGGCCAAGTGTTGTTGTATGTGTACCCATGAAGAGTTGAAGCTGTGCATAAAAGCCTGTGGTTTGAGCAAGACAAGGGAATGACCACTAGGACACAGTGGAACTCAGATTCAACGAGATGAGATAGATATCCCATTTTTTTTCTACTTTAAAATCAATCAAAATAACCAGGATTCAACGAGCACTTAAACAGCGAGCTCGCTTCCAGGGGGAACAGCCCCCCCCCCCCCCCCCAAGAGGTGGCTTTGCTCATTTTTATCCCAGAACGAACTTAATCTATTTCCCGGAAATCATCCATTGCACCTGCATCGTGAACCATTAATCACTTAGCCGATTGCACACAACTAATCAGCAGCCTTTTTCATACCAACACATGCGTTGTTGGCATGCGCACATGTCTACTTTGGCGTGTGTCGGGGTCGGATGGGCGGCCTGCACACGTGTGGCTGTGTGTGTGTGTCAAGGAGGGGCACTAGCGGTCCCGGCGTTGAACGTCACAGATACAAAAGCGTCACTGTCTTTCTTTCCCCCACGGCAACTGATCATTATTACAAATTATAAGCTAGTCTTGACGTAGATTTACGTAATGAATTGTGTGCCGGTCTATGGAATAAAAAAAAAAGTTGCTGTATGCTAGGCTCTACACAGCAACACAACTTTTTGGTGAACAATCGAGATGACACAAGCTTGTGCATTTGAACGAATCTGCCTCTTTTTTTTTTTACACAGCTCATAATATGCACGCATCTGAGGCACTATTTGTGACTTCTCTTTATACATTACTTGCACAGTGCCTG